GAATGGCCGCTTATTCAGAGGGCAGAAGAGTCTAAACTTCAGGGTCCCTTGCACTCACAATGGTTTAGGATTCCTTAGACGCAGCCTGGCCTTCTTCCCCCAGCCAAACAATTACAGTTCACAAAGTAGCTTTCAGTCATCAGTCACCAGGACATTGCCACTGAGCACAGAGAATGAATTCATTTGCACCAGCCTTGCTTCCTTGTGTCAAGGCAGGAATGTGGCTTTGGTTAAGGTAGTCACCATCCCAGGCTGCCAGGGGTAAAGTAAATGACCATCTGGCCTTCATAGCAGGAGGCAAGACTTATTTTTGGCCAAGATTCATATAAAGGCAGATGCCTCCGCTCTAGAAGGGACATTCAGGGGCCGCACTCCCAAAATAAATGTTGATCACTTTCGCTTCTAGGTACAATCTGCCCTTCCTGAAGTGGCGGCAGATGTAGCTCCACTTTTGCTGACTCTGCTCAGCTCACACCAGCCCCTCCAATTTGCAGGTCGATGGCTGCCTTGTTGGTTGTCATAAATGATGTTTATTTTTCAGGAATAACTAGACCAACGAAGCCTGACTCAACCTGAATGTCAGAAATCACTTGTGGCCTAAACCCACGGCATCTGGAACCGAGTGGAAGGTGTGCTGTGGCAGACTCTAAGTGATCTTTTCTTGACCATGTCTCCTAGGCAAGGTCTTTCTTGTATTTAGAAATAGATCTCCTATGGTAGTATAATTTATAATTTTGACTATAACAAAAGCTTAGGGATAAGGGGCTTGGAAAAAAAGACAAAGCAAATTGAATAATCAGCTCCCTTAAATACCATGAAACATTATAAATAGAGCTGTACTATGACTCAGAACTAACCTCATACATTGAATTATAAACTGGCAAAAGATATTTTCTGGGAAATGGTATTCTGTTTCCTTAAGTAAAACTAAGGTATAATTCCAGGATAAACCCAGTGAGATGATTAGAAAGAAAAGGTAAGTATAGAATCTTAGACACACTGTTCCATATGGCAGCCTACCTGGAGGACATAAGATGTGGGTTGATAATGAAACAGGTGTACATCTTTCATCCCCCTTCTCTGTCCTCCTCTGTGCCCAGCATGCTGACATCTACAGACTATTGCTATGGTTTCCTGTGCTTTACTTAGCTCTGACCAATGGGGTGTGGGCAGCAGGAGAGAGAAACATGTTCCTGGTAATTTGCTTCCCAGCTTCCTCCTGGCAGCACATGTACCATTAGCTAGCTGTGTTTTGCTCTGGCCATGGATCCTGTTGAGTCGCCCTGTTTCAAAGCTCCAGCTTCTGTACCTGTCTATGCTTCTCACACTCCTGAGTGTGGCTCCCCATTTGCTAGTCTCTGGGTGCTTCAGTGTCCCACAGAGCTATAAATAGTTACTTCCTTAATTTCTTTACAGTCAAACCTTTTCTAATGTACTGCCTGTATCCTTCTGAGATCCTAATCATAATCAGATGCAATGTTAGGCAGCCCCCAGATCTACCCATATAAATAAGAAAACTCCCAGAAAAAAAATATAGGCTGATTATGAAAGTTTTATCTTCCAATATACTGAATTTTCACTAAAATATTCACCAAAACTGAGAGCCCATATGGAAAGAAAAATGATTATGAAAACAATGCATTAGGAAGACAACAAAAAAACATGCTTGTCTCCTGACATTGGCCAGCCTCAAATTCAGCCTCACACTCAAATCTTTGGATGAGGCTGATGTATTTATAAAGAGTGGGTTTGGGGTAATTGTGTTTATAGATTACAACTGCTAGTCTAGAATCTTGTAGGAGTGGCCTCAGGTCTATGGAGATAGAGGGATTTATTGGTGTACGTTCAAACCACTTTTGCTGCATCCCATAGGTTTTGGAAAGTTTCCATTTTCATTTATCCAGACTTTTTGATCCATTCTCATTAGTAGAATGTTAGTTCCTATACCACTTCTCCTGAACATCGTATCACTGTGGTCAGAGGAGACACTGGATACATATCAAGCCTCTTAAGTTTGTTGAGACTTGTTTCGTGGCATATGTGATCTATTCTGGACAAAGTTGTGTGTGTACTTGAATGTGTATTGTTTCTGTATAGAATATTTTGTACACGTCTGTTAGACCCCTTTGGTCTGAAGCACAGTTGAAGTCCAATCTGGATATGTCCATTATTGAAAGTAGGGTAATGAAGCCCTTTACTATTTTTGTATTACAATCTCTCTCTCCCTTCAGGTCTATTAATATTTTCTTTATGTATCTAGATGCTTCAGTAGAGTACATACATATAAACAACTCATATAACTGCTTGATAAGTTGAATCCTTTATGTTTTTTTACTTAAAATCTATTTTGTCAAATCCAACTATAGTTACCCCTGTTCTCTTTTGCTTTTTTTTTTTTTTTTTTAATTTTTTCTTATTTTTAAAATTTTTCTCTTTTGCTTTCCACTTGCACGGAATATCTTTTTCCTCTATCACTTTCTGTGTTTGTCCTTAAAGACGAGGTAAGTCTGCTGTATAATGTATAGATAGATCTTATCTTTTTAACTCAATCATTCTTATCCCCTTTTTAAAGAATATTACATTCAAAGTAAGCAGTGCTAAGGAGAAGTTAACACTGCCATTTTGTAATTGGGTGTTCTGGTTTTGTGGGATATAATTTGTTTCTATCTCTCTTCCTGTCTTCCTTTGTAGTCCAATGGTTTGGTTTTTGTTTTCGAAATGCTTTGTATTTGTTTTGTATATCCTTGCATTTTCACTTTGTGGTTATCATGATCTTTGCAGAGAAAGTTCATGTGTTCATATCCCTATGGCTTACAATTAGTAAGGATGTAAGGGCCAAAATGGAAAAAATTTTTCTAAGCAAAAAAGCAGCTTCAATTATCCATTTGCACAAACAGTAAGAATGCCAGAGTAGGAACTAAATTTTTAAGGTAACTAAATCTAAATTTCCTTACTTAGAGGTATGCTAAGATTAGGAGTGATAACCTGCAATCTTTACTGCACCTGAAATTTGCAAAGTGGGCATGCATGCCACGATCAACACAGCACATCCGGCCTGACAGACTCCTGTCCTCAGACTTCCCTCCCAGCTGCATTTTGCAAAGTACTTCAGGCATTCTTTTTTCTCCTTTCAAGTAGGCATTTTTAAAGTGCTCAGGGCATGATTATATTAACATATTTTATATTAATATCGAACTTCCAATTTTTTTAAGAAGAAATTTCACTGACCACTTCCTGGGACCGCACTCTGGTCTACTGGCAGTGGTGAAATGTAGCCACCAAAGGTGGAGGGTGAATGGTTGTTCTTTGGACTGTTTACTGTGGTAGGAGTTAGGAATCTGCAGACAATGTGTCTGGGAGGGAGAAGTGGTCAATGTCATGCAGTCTAAGCCTAAGCTTTTCTTTTTCTCAGTTTGCTGCCCTTCTTTATGCACTGCTGTTAATCCTCCACCTGCAGAAACAAAAACTTTGTCCTGAATATGTATCTAAATCTCAGCGTATTACCTTCCCCATAACCAGGTCTTCTAATTTTTATCTCCATGTTTCTATTTAATCTAAACCTTCAGAAAAACTGACAAAATCACTTAAATTTGAACCTTCAAATCAGGTATCTTTCTCTGTACTGCACCATATGAAAAGCTTTTGAGAACTGTTTTGGGAATTTTAACTACAACAGAAGGCTCTTTCTAAGCCTGCTCCTACTACCCTAGGTCAAGTCCTCACACTGTGTTAGCACCAGAACTACAGTAATTAAACTATTCCTGTATGGTTATTAATGCTGTTCAAGTATTTTTAGCGTTTTGGGCACATGGGAATCATCACTTCCTGGCCTCCTTGTGACAGTCAAAAAACATGTAGCTGGTTTCAACCAGTTCGAGAAGTGCTATTTTTCCGTTTTGGCCCAGTGTTTAATCACACTTGCCACAGTAACCAGTAATTTTTTAATAGTGGGAAAAAGGGATCAACAGATAGCAAACCCTACCGCTGGACAGTCCACTCTGAACACTGAAGTTGAGATTAATCTTGGACGAGCCGTTTAGAGGTTGCATAGCACAGCATAACCTACCGAGCCTGACTGATACATGTCCTCACCATCTATCCTAACCACTGCTACCCGCTCAGCTGGTCAGGCCACTATCCTGGCCAAATAACTTATTTCCAAATATCAGAGGACGAACCTTTAGGATGTCATTCATGCCTTTACTTGTATTTTTTGAGAACTTGGTGTAAGGGCAGAACCCAGGGCCTTTGTACAAAGCTATATATCCCCCCTCCCCATCCCTTTGAGACAAGGTCGTGCTAAGTTGCTGAGGCTACACTTGAACTTCCCAGAACTTCCCGGTTTCCCAGAGTGCTGGCTTTACAGGTAAAACCACACCTGGCATTCCGTCTCTTATAAACTGGCCTAACCCTGCTTGTCTAGATGCAGTTCCCACGAGTCCCCTACAGAACAAGCAAGCTCGCCAAGAACTCCCTGAGCACACCCCCACCCCAGGATTCTGCTGTTCTGAGTGCATCCTTCTCAAAGGCCCACACGCAGCACATACTACCAGAGTGCAGACAACTGAAGTCCCAACACGTGTTCTTGCTCACACCGTTAACCCACATATTCATGGATTTCATTAACAGCTAAAATTTTCCATACTAACCTTTCTAAATTCCGTCTTGTCCCTCTTTCCGGAATTGCTATTAAACCTAAATTGTGGTTTTTCATTTTGTAATTCTGGACTTCTAATCTCTTTCCTATATCCCCTCTCCTCATCTCTGGGCTGTATTCTAAGTAACTTCCTCAAGATCTGTCTCCCCGTTCAGGCCCAGCTTCGTAAGACTGGAGCACCCAGGTTTCCCTCCAGGGCTCAGCACTGTGCAGTAGGTTTTCAGTCTGACTTTCAGTGAACAGATGGTAATTCCGTATTACCGACTATTTCTGGGTATTTAAAAGTAAAAGACTTTCAGGTCATCATAGAAAACTCATAATGCCAAAAACAAAAGTTCTAGTATCATGTTTTACACATACTTTTATTTGTTGAATAAATGAATATTTGTCCATATGTACATAACCACGTAGAGCGAGCACTAGATTTAGAGCAAAATATTTGGATTCTAATATGCAAAGCCACTTACCAGCTACGAGGGCTTAGGCAAAGAACTTATCTAAGCTCAGCTTCCTCAACTGTAGAACTAGGCCGCACAGACCCATGCGGCCCCCACATAGGCTTATTGCAAGGTCCAAATGCAGAAACATGTGAAAGTGCTGATTACAACTTAGAGCAATACAAATGTAACTGTAACGAGTAACAGCAATCAAACTTCAAGTTGAGGAATACTTAGTCACACCCGTGGACTGTACTGATGGAGTCAAGCAGGAAGTGACAAACAGATGATTATTAATGAGAATAAACATGCCATTCTCCCGCCGAGGGAGAAGAATTTGGCAGTATCCTTTAGTCTGTTCCAACCATTAAGCACTTCCTTAACTTCGCAAAGATGTCAGCGACCCACCATCAATAACTCTCTCACAGAAGCACAGGGGCCAAATGTCCCACGTTTATTTACATATTAAATGTGTTTAATACAGTTATGATGGATGTAGTGTGTAACACCTGACAGCAGCACGACCTTCTGAGGAACCAAACACCGACTACGCCTATCATGCAAGTATCTATATATACACAAAAGAATTTCTTTTCTTACAAAAAAAAAAAGTACAAAACATGTTTAGGGATAAATACAAGATATAAAATGCAAAAGAAACCACAAACAATAGCCAAAAAAAATACATACATACATATATATAAAACTCTTGCCAGAGAACTACAAACAGAGGGGACAGAAGAGTACCTCTGCGATGCTGTGATAAGCAGAACTACAGTGCGAGCCATACGTACTGAAATGACTAAATCAAACCCAGGTGGCTCAGTGCTTCGTCTAATGGCCAATTGCATGTGCAGGCTGCTGCATTGTAAGTCGGTGGTTAAAGTTGTGCATCCCAACTCTAAGTACCAGAACATTTGGCAGTAGCACCCAGAACAGGAAATGCCAACTGGTTAGACAGCAAAGGGTTAAGTCAACTATGACTTGTTTTTCCTGTCAAGAGCCAGAGAAATACTTGATATTCTTATTTGTGTAATAGTTAATAAGTTACATGACAAAAACCTGACTAGACATCTACTGTTCTAACTACGTATGTGTAACTTTTACAGTAGTCCAGCCCTTTCGAAGCTTTATCTCCTTGTGCTCTTAAGTCAGCCTTGCAAATGTGCCCCAAAACTATCGGCCTCATTGTTTTCCTTTAGAATTCCCTTTTCCCTCATTTCTCAGGATGGAATGAAGCAAATGCACATTCCTTGCTGGATTCCTGGCCCGTTCTACCCACTGCTGAGAGCAGGTCCCTGCAAGGCTGCTTTAAACACGCTGGGTTGGGTTGGGTTGGGCTGGGTGTGGCCCTGGAGTGCAGCTGTCCGCGGCCCTGCTGGAGGCGGGCCGTGGGAGTAGTGCTAAGACACTTAAAGTTCCTAGTGTTGTTGAGACCACGATCACCTACAATTTATGTAGTAAATTCTAAAAATTAAAAACACTAAAAAAGGCATTAATGTCAGCCTCTGATTAGTGAACCCATTCAAATTGGTAACATACAAAATGGTTTATCTGAATTCAGGAACTGCCCCTAAGAACTCTGTTTTAAAGAAACGGTACAAAAAGAAAAACTCTAACCCAAAAAACTCAAAACATTTCCACTAAATACTGATACAAACATGTAACAAAGAGTATAAAAAGTTATTCATTTAAATATATACAAACTCTTTTAAACTCAAATACTGTCATAATACTTATGGAGGAGATAATCTGACCTGGTGAGGAGGGTACACTGAGAGGAAATATATTGCAACAGCCTAGACAGTACTGTTAACTCTATTATACTGCAAACTTTTTGTAACAAAAATGTTTTTTAATTCCAATGTGGACAGGGATTTTCCTTAAGGAAGGTCTGTGGCTATTTCTCGGCTGAGCTCATTCTTTTGGACTTAATGAAGGCCATGCCGTGTGTCCGCATGTGCGTGTTTAAGGCAGCTTCTGTTTCGAAGGTCTTTGCACACACCTTGCACTTCCGGTCGGACGCTGCGCCGTCGGGGGCCTCGTCCTCGGGGCCGGGCTTGTTCTCTTGCTGGTTGTCCTCGCCGGCCCCGTTCTGCTTGGACACCGGCTGGGGCTCCTTGAGCTTGTGCACGATGAAGAGGTGCCGGGACAGGGAGACATGGGACGTGTAGCAGAGGCCGCACTCCCGGCACTGGTAGGAAGAGCCATCTGACTTGTGCTGGGGGATGTGCTCGTGGAACTGCAGCAGGTTCTCCGTGGTGAAGCCGCACACGGCGCACTTGTGAACCTTGAACACGTTGATCTTGAGCTTTTTCAGGGGTTGAGTGATGGCTCCTCTAGGAGGTCTGAACTCTAAAACTGGTTCTTCCAACTTTCGCTTGGGACTTGGGACCTTTGGGGGAAAAACAAAACAAGTAACTCAACTGAAGCCACCCTGCTATGTCTTCAACAAATGACTGGAGCTGCTAGGAAAGTAGATCCTGGAAGTGCGGGACTAGGGCTTAAGTCACCCATCTGCCCTGCCAGAGGCCCACACCTTCCCTCTACCCCTCCAAGAGGAACTGAGTCACCACATCCAGGCACAGGACAGGGCAAACCAGAACAGGCGCAGGGATCTAGAGCACATGGGACTCACAGAAACAAAGCAGTGTACCTTCTACACTGGGGAGAAATGGGGTGCGGTACACGGGTCAGGGAGGGCCACGGTGAAGGCGGGCAGGAAACTGATGCAGGCAAAGAAAGAAACGAGCCCAAGGGGTGTGAAGCCAACACCCCGCCTCTGCCCTGTGTTCTGGGGACAGCAGGGCAACTGCAAGGGCAGAGCGGCCCCGGGAGAACAGGAAACAATGTCCAGAGGGGCCGCGGGAGGAACTGTGTGTGACAGGACACACCAGGCTCTTGTTTTCACCGTAAGCAGGAAGCTGCTGTCCCACCCCAGCAACTCCCCCTGTGGCTTTCCCTTGCCTTCTCCTTCCCCTCCTGCTCTCCTCATCCCTGCACACATCAAACCCGCTTTGGGCCTCCGTGGGTCCAAGCCCACGTGACGCTTCCTCTCCCTTCCCCGTGGTCCAGCTTTCTCTGCCCTGTGCCGGAGCCGTCACTGCAGTATGTTCTCTTAACTTCTGTGGGAAGGACCATGTTTTAATGTGACATTGGTCTGATGAGCTTTTTACACAACGATTAACTCCTTTGAAAACTTTTCTTTGTGAACAGCTTTTACCCAGGGGCCTTCCAGATGTAGTGTGGCACCAAAGTCAGCGATGTCTGCTTACTGGTGGCTTCCCTTAACTCCAGTAGCAGGTGGCACACACAATGCCTTGTACACAGTCTCTTATTTATGACTCGCTGGCTCACATTCACTGCCCCACACCCCAATCAAGAGTAAGGTCTGGGGGCTGGAGATGCAGGTCAGCAATAGAGCACTTGCCTATCACATGCGAGGCTGAGTGGTCCCCAGCACCACGAAAAGGGGTGGGAGGACACAAATTTGTTGTTTTATCTTTTATCATTTATTATTACAAGGAAGAAAGTACTCACCTAATTGTTATTAGGAACCTATCACCACTGACATACTATCAAAAAAAGATTCTGCCTTGGGGCCAGGGTCACGGCTCAGCAGCACAGCGCCTGACTGGCAAGGGTCACGAGCCCGTTTCCCAGTATCAAAAAAAAAAAGTAAGCTACTATTTTGTTTTGAAATTCTGTATCACTGCTTTATTCTTTTTTCACTTTTAAATTTAAAAACAAAAAGAGAAAGCAATATCTTTAATATACTCCTCTGGCTAAAAGACAACTTCCCTAAGTCAACATAAAATTTTTTTTAAGTTATATAAGCAAGTAGGTTCCTAGAGCTGTTTCTGGAAGGACACAGAAGAAACTTAACAAAAGTTACCTTTCAGGAGAAGCTGAGGGGTCAGAGTGGGTGTGGAGGGGATTATCCATTATTGCATACTTTCATGTATAACCTGACTTTTAGAAGTGTAAATGAATGCATAGGTAATGAAGAGACTATACTGAGAAAGCAAGTCGACACAGCTTTGCTGTGAAGAAAGCAGTTGTAGCAGGGCGTGGTGGCTCACGCCTGTAATCCCAGCACTCGGGTGGCTGAGGTGGGAGGATCGTTGCAAGTTCGAGACCAGCCTGGGCTACAAAGTGAGCTCAAGGCCAGCCTGAACTGCATAGTGAGACCCTGTCTCAAAAAAGAAAAAAAAAAAAACAGAAGGCAGTTATAATGTTTGACCTTGGTGTCTTCCTTTATTTCCGTTTCCTCCTCATTGGTGGCTTCAGTCATCTCTTTCACATCTGGATCCTTGATCCCGTGCATCAGCTGGATGTGCTTCTCCAGCATCAGCCGCTTGGTGAAGGTCCGCCGGGAGTCCGGGCAGTGCCTGCAGGGCACAGACAGGGAGAAGCCACCCTGCTACAGTGCATGGCTGCAGCTGGAGGGGCTGTGCAGCAGCAAACAGCCAGCACAAGCCAGATTAACGGCAGTGGCTCAAGGACGAACAAACAGTGTTGCTAAGTCATAGTTTGTAAAAAAGGGTTTTTAAAAACCAGCTTTTGTAAAAAGCTCTGTTGGTATAGAACTAGACTAATTTGCTCCAGTTGGAATATTTTCTAGGTTTAGTCGAAGTATGATTTAATTTGTAATCCTATATTGGCCTTAATTTTAAAATGCAGAGTATTAAATTTCCAGAGCTTTCTTTACAACAACTCTGAATATCCTCAGACTTTATACCACGATAGACCCAGCAGGCTAGGCTCCCCATGCTGCTGGTAATTCCCCTGTCCCTCTGCTGAAACAGAACCTCAGCCCAGCCTTCCCACAAGTACATGTGACCCCTGTGTCTATCCCCAAGGTATTTGAGCCCCCAAGGCGGGTTCACTCTTGGAAAACATTCCTAACATACATGGGGGTCAGCAAAAGGGCGCTTCTTTCTCAAGTACACATAAATGAAAATGTAGGAAGCTGAACTGATCCAAGACAGGCCAATTATCTGTTTTCATTTTATCTTGTGCCAAAAATATTGTAATTATGAAGATAGTTTGTTTGAAAGATGGGAGTTTACTGTTTTCTTAAATCAGGCCAAACATACTTTTTAAAACGTTCGTGACCATGCTGATTATGGACACTATATATCACATCAACAATACCCCTGCAATGAATGAAGGGGGACAAAAAGCCTGCTCTTATTTTGAACCAAATCTGCTACTTTCAAATAATGACTGGCTCAAAACCTCATGATTTCACATTAGAGACAGCCTGGGGACAAGCCTGGCACGACATGTGCTCTTGATCCATGGAGAGATTTTAGCCAGCAGTAAATTAGCCAGGCAGTCCTGGCTTACAGTGACCTCTCGGGGAAAGAAACAAAACCTATCTGTGAAGGATTGTGGCCAGGCAGACTCCTTTCCCTCTTTTTTCAATCCAAGGCATCCTAAACTGATTTTTTAAATACAGTCTCAAAACACAGGCTATGCATGGAACATTGTCACCTCACCAAAATCACTTTACCTCTTTGATTTCACTCCTGCTTGGCTACCTAGAAAGCTCCCTAACTAACCAAGCCCAACGAGCCCTCGCTGAGGGGACAGCTAGCTTCAAGCCTGTCCCTGTGCGCTAGGCCCACCGCACCTGCTCTGACCCTGTTTGTGCGGCCTTACACACTGGTGCTCCACACTTGGGGTCCTATAGCTTCCTCTGATGAGAAGCACCTTGTTCCACCAAGGTGACGAGGACTGTCCACTGACAACGTAATAATCTGGTCATTACATACAAAGAGGAAGTTTGTGAGTTGCCACCGAGGTATGAGATTTTATGGCCCACTCAGTCCCTCACATGTGTCTGGTCGCAGCCAGTAACAAGTACTGCCCAAGGGCCCAGGACCTGGTCTGGACTGGACCTTTCCCAGGCCTCTGCTGAAAGTGGGTACTCCGACCTGCCAAATCGATCTACAACGCTGCCCAATCGTTACGGGCAGGGACAGCACCATCCCTACTTCCCACCAGCAAACCAGCCACCCCGTCCCCAATTCTCAGTAATAAAAGTGGCATTGAATAATACAAAATCTAATATATATGGTCTACGCAAGTGAGATCACTCAAGCAATAAAACCATATGCCAAAATAGAATACAGTTAAGAAATCTAATCTAGAAACTGGAGCAGAGGGTGAAGAGTCAAAAGGTAAAAGTAAAAAATGAAAATGCAGCTCAGGATGGCAGTGCACACGTATGATCTCAGCTACCTGGGAGGCTGAGGCAGGAAAAATGCAAGCTTGAAGCCAGTCTTGGTAATTTAGCAAGACAGTGTCTCAAATTTAAAAGAAATGGGTATTCCCTGAGTTCAATCTCCAGTAACAAAAGTAAGCAAAACCAAAAACGCTCCACAAGGTGCTGACAGTTCTTTCACTGCGCTTCCATTTTAGAAATCACAACTTACGAGCAGGTGTAAACCTTCCTGATGCCCTTGTGCTTGATCCTATTGTGGCGGCACAGGCTGTGGGAGGAACTGAAGGACTTGTCACACTGGCGGCACGGATGCTTCTTCATTTGCTATCAAGAGAGAGGAGAGGGGCACTTAAAACAATGGCACGTTAAGAACTCTCAGATGCTCTAGTTGATCATCACTTAGGAATACACTAGCAAAAGCAGAAGGCCCTTTCTAAAAAATGTACTTGAAGTGGGGGAACGCTCTGGGATCACCATGAAGGGGCCAACTTCAGGAGAGTGAGAGAGAAAATTTACATTTTCTCCCTAGACACACATTTTAATACAAATGTCCAAGTGTGTTTAATAGGAAACACTGGTGCAGTAGAACTATTTTTTTAAAAAAAGAATACATGAAAACATACTCATTTAGCAAGTGAAGCCATCTTATTTGTTGTCAACAGAACATGTCCCCTTATCCAATGTTAAGTTATACATGGCATGTTAAATAAAATCCCTGGGTAATTTCAAACATTTTAAAGCTTTATCTATCAGTGGTTAATATCACTATATAATGCAAGGGAAATCCTCCGTGGACACCGGTGGAGAGCACAGCGGAGTCCACCACATAGCACGGACAACATATGAGGTACCTTCTCTTCCTCATCCTTACAAACACTGGCAGACATGAGCTGCGCAATCCCCAAGCAGCAGAGCTTCCAACTGGTGACCAAAACCAACTGGTGAGAGGATGTGAGGGGTAAACATTGTTTCTAGGTCAAGCCTGCTAAGCTCTCGTCAACCACCAACGCAAACGACAAGACGTGGGAGTTGTCAGAAATTGAACCCAGAGGCTGGGGTACATTAGGCAGAGGCTCTACCACTGAGTTTCTTCTCTGTTAAAACTTAAATACTAATTTATTCATGGTGCTTTAATTTATTTTCATAGTTTTTGTCTTCAATGTTAACTGCTATTCAATGACAGAAAATAATTCTTTTTTGTTTCTTTGTTTCATTTTTGTTTTGAGACAGGGCCTTGCCTATGAGTTACAGGTGGCCCTGAATTCTCAGCGATCCTCCTGCCTCAGCCTCCGGAGTGCTTAAATTATAGATGTGCACCACCACGCTCCACTCAGAAAACAATACTTAAAAGTCAAAATGAGAAAAACAGTGTGAATAAAGTAGAAAGTCAATCATTTCCAAGATTTTTAATGTCATTTGCTTCTTCCCGGCTCCAATGTAATGGAACCATACTGAGGGAACCAGGGTTTGAGTTGACTTTTTATAGTTAACTACACTTAGGAAAGGAACATGTTGTCTCACTCAAGTCTAAGTTGTTTTGTTCAATTAAAAATAGTAGTCTCTAAAAAAATAGCTGATGTATAAGCTGTCAAGATCCCCAAATTTACATAAAATTTTCACATATAGTACCAAATAAAACACACACATGGAATCCCTGACCATCCAAATCTGCCACCCTGCGCCCAGTCCCCTGATGAAGTTACAATCCTCCTGCCTCAGCCTCCAGAATATCTGGGGGTACATATGCTTTATCAGGTACAATCCAAACACTGGTAGGTGCTGCCAATACCACTCAGCAGACAGGCGAGCTTGTAAGGCCACTGTGATGTGTCCTCTTCCACTGTATCCCCACAGTGAAAATGGCCGTGACAGTAAACATAAGCCATTCAGGACATAAGCCACAGCAGCCTAAGTGAGATGCTCACAAAAGAAGACTTTCAGAACCGCTTCAGAAAGTGACAACAGAGTGAGGGGAGAGTACTGTGACAGGGAATGACAATGTGTCTTTTACGGTAATGAAATTTTAAATGATTTTTTAACTTTCCTTGTGTTTTTTGATTATGCCCACGAGTATCTGGCAACACAGCCACTTCGTCTTTTTGTGAGGATCCTATCTTGTTTCCAAGAGGTACCTGCCTCACTCCACCACGCAGACAACCTCCTTACTTAACCATCAAACACCCAGCAACGGGCACACACCTCCTATTAAAGGCACACAATTTTCTGAGGTCATGCCGACACACGCTCTTTGGCTTTGCTCTGACACTTTATGAAACAGAAAAGACCAAGCCAGTCCTGTAATTTAAACATTATCTCAACAACAGTCCCTCAGCAGTTAACTCCCAAGCCTCTGAATTCTTCCACTTGGGGGTCTGTTCTGTGTCATATTTCTGGCCCCCACTGCCCTTTACTGCTGGGGGCAGGGATACCTTTCAAGTGTCTCAATAGATGCCTTGAAATCTTGGATAATACCTATACAGGTGACTTCCTTGACTTACAGTGAGGTTATGCTCCAATAAACCCATCTTAAATGGGAAATGCATTTAATGCCCCATTAAAGCCATGTTAAGTTGAAGACTGCAAGTCAAACCAAGTTGAGTACTGTCTGCACATATAATATAATACAGTTTAACTGATAAACTAAGCACAGTAAGAGATTAATAACAAAACACAACAGTTGTAACAATACAGTGTCATGAAAGCTACCTGCTGGACTATGTGTCTCTTGAAAGGTCTCACCGTACTGCAGCTTTTCACTTAAACAAAGCACCTTAGGCATATCTGAACTGCCAGTTTTACAACTGTTGCACTTTGGAGCAACCATTATTAATATTAGAGTTACCTGAATGGAAGCACTGAAAAGCCACAACCAAGCTGGCAGGTAAATCTGCAGAGAAGATACTTGGATAAGGGCGACTCCGGCCTGCGTGAGACTCCCAGGACAGCACACAAAGCAATCTCGCTCTCCAGGAGGTGCAGTTTAAAGCTTGTGCCTTGTTTCTACCTGAAGTCTTCTACTTTGTATTTCATACCGCAGCTCTCAACGGATAACTTACATAAAGAAACTTGAAACTCAGTGATCATGGGTGATATGGGTAGGGACAAGGCTTCACCGTATGTTTTTCATGTTTGAGTTTTTGAACCAAGTGAATATAGCACATATCAAAAAAAATTTTTTTGCCTCAAAAAATTAAAGTTAGGCAGGATGGTGGCACATGCCTATAATCTCAGCATTTGGGAGGCTGAGGCAAGAGGATCACTACAAGTTCAAGGGCAGCCAGGGCTCCATAATGAGTCTAAGACCAGCCTGAACTACATAGCAAGACCCTATCTCAGAAAACTGCCTCCCTGAATCAAAGCTGGGCTTATGGAGGTATAATTTACAAAATGTAAAACTGACCCTTTTAAAGGACAGCCTTGTGAGCTTCAGCACATGATGCAACTGAGTAACCGCAGTGACACTCAGCATGTGTAACGGGCACGTCATCCCTGAGGAGCTCTGTGAGCCATCACAGTCGAGCTTCTCCGCTAAAGTTGGCTCATGGCAACTACTGCCTATTTTGTGTCCCTCCGGTGTTGCTTTTCTGTCTGTTATGTACATAAAATGCCACAGGAGAGCAGGCAGCTTTCTATGTCTGCCTCCTTCGTCCCGTGCAATGGGTTGGTAATTGGGTTCTGTTCATTTGCACTGCCCAGAAGGATCCCACTGTATGGATGCAGCCCAGCGTGCTGACCCATCTGCCAGTTGATGAATGTCTGGGTTGTTTCCAGCTTTTGGAAAAAAAATGAATGAAACCCCTTTCACACGCAGTGTTTTGGGTGGGCGTGTGACTCCACTTGCCCTGGACAGACACAGGAGCAAGGTTATTGGGCCATTTGGTAAGTTAAACAAGAAACTGGCAGGCTAGCTCTGCATTTCCACAGGCTTCAGCTGCCCTGCACCCTTCTCAACATTCGGTGCCACCGTTTATTTTGGTCCTTCCAAAGGGCAGCTGGTGGTACTTTATTATGGTTTTTAGCTTTTATGTAATGACTACAGTATTAAGATTTTTTAAAAGTTTCAATTAACAGATAAAACATCTATGTACACAGTGTACCCCGCCCTTCAAAGAAAAACCCTCACCACTACAAGTTTTAATTTCTAAAAGAGTATCTGGAGCATTTTTACTCCTCCATAAGCTCCTTGAGAACAGAAGCTATGAATTACTCTTCTAGTCTTGCTCTGTAGCATGGATAAAACACTCAGTGAGTCTTTAAGAATAAATAAAGAGGGCCAGGAATTGTGCCACGTGCCTGCAACCCCAGCACTCAGGAGGCTGAGGCAGAAGGATTACCACAAGTTTGATGCCAGTCTGGGTTAAACAGTGAGGTCTAGGCCAATTTGAACTGCATAGTGAGACCCTATCTCGAAAATCAAATAAGTAAATAACTGAATAAGACATTCTCAATTAGGGAAATATCAATAGTTTGTATACATTCTTCACAAAGCAAACTCAAGGTGAAAACCAAAAACTTAAAGAGAAAGCAAGGCTTCTTGCCAGAAGACAGGTCACACCAGCATGTTCAAATGCTGATGGAGACTGAAATAGGAGAGGGACAAGGGGCAAGGAGGTGGGGAGGGCTGAGACAGGACAGCAGCTCTTCCCACAAGGCAGGAGCTGCGGCCCTGTCCCTAGCCAGGTGCAAAGCTTCCTGAGCCTATGGTGGGAGGGGTCGGCAGGGACCAGGAAATTAAGGAAACTCCAGTTCCAAGGTGAAACTGTATGGCACATCTAGATACAGTGGGCCTTCATTTTCTTTCATATTTAATTATAAAAGTATAAATGTGTACTGCAAAGTAAAGATGAACGATGGTTTCCAATCTCATCACTTTAACCACTGTTAATTTCTAGTTACTATATAGCTATTCCATTTCTTTTCTGAATATACATGTGAGTCTGTATCACAGATTTTAATCCAATATTTTCCACTCAAAAAGTTGACTACATCTATATACAGTTTAATATTTCTATGCTCTTCTTAATGAGTGCAGCACAATTCACTTCATAAATGGGCTGTAATTTATCTTCTATTACTGATTTGGGTTGTTTTGATTTCTTTATAATTATAGATACAAATTTCTGTAGTCTATCAATTATTCCTGAAATACTTTTATCTAGCTTAGAAGCTGCGAAAACTTTCCAAACATTTTGACACTCTTTGCCAGTTGGTACTTGTTTGCTAAGTCTCCAGCCAAGATCACTACCCTTCAATTCCACCAATGTGATCATTAAAAGGTATTTTTTTTCATTATCTAATAATGTTAATACCCAGTAATGCTGAAC